TTATAACTATGCTTGGTAATAGATGTTAACTGAACTTACTGTGGTTATCATTTCTAATGTACACGAATATTGATTATGATGTACATCTGAAACGAACATGTTACATGATAATTATGCCTCAGTTAGATAAATGAATAAATAAATAATTTAAGGTTGTAACTAAAGAGAAAGGTGATTGGTAGATATTTAACTGGGACAGGATTTTCACAGAAGCTATGAAAATATTTCATTTGACTTTTTTTTAACCACTTTCTTCTGATTTTTGAGGAGAAAGTGGGGTGAAGATTTCAGAGACAATACCTTAAACAGAAGCATTAAGCTAATTTCCAGTAACATTAGTTGATCAAATGGCTAAAGGATCTACTGTTTCATATTACACAAATATTACCCAAACACATAGTGGTCAAATGACAGACATTATAAAAGAACTGATATAAAGAATTTCTCAGATTTTCAGTATATCTAAGAATTACCTGCAGTGTTCGTTAAAATGAATCCAGAGCTCAGATTTTAAGTTAGTAGGACTGGGGTGGGGCCTGCAAACCTTCACATTATTGAAAAGCTCACACTCTGGAGGAAGAGATGCAGAAACTACTATGGGGGAAAGCTTAGAAAAAGGCAGGGTCCTGCAGTGGGAAAGGCACTAAATAGGATCAGTTCTGATCCTGTAATTGGCACACTGGCCTTGGGCAAGTCATTTCCCTTTTATAAACCTCATTTTTCTGAGTGGTAAAATTATAAGGCTAATGCCTTGTTGAAAGAGACCCTTGAAAGCTGCAGGACTAAATATTTGTAAATGGAACTAGCATAAATACCCAGCACCTGGGAGAGGCCCAGGCCTGGATTTCAATCTGAATTGTGTTTGTAGTTTAAATTAATTTGGGAATCCCCAGCTTGCTTTATTTTACTTTTTTCTCAGGCCACTAGAAAGTAAGCCTCCCAAGGGGAGTTAGAATACCACCACAGAGGTGGGAGTGTAGACAGAGTGTTTGCAAGTGTTGTGTTTGGTTTGGAGTTTTAACGCTCAATCACAAATTAAGGTAAGCACAGGATGGAACTACTAAGGAAACTGGAAAGGACAGACAGTCCTGGAATGTGGCAGCTCCTGTTTGATTTTAAATGTAAGTTAAATATTAATTAAAAAAAATACTTTCTCCAGAGAGACCTTTTTTTTTACCTTTTCTTTTTTTTTTTTGCCAATTTTTTGTTGCTTTGCTTTTCCCCTTACTTGTTTTGGCGGAAAAAAAAAAAGTTTTCAGATGATCCTATTTGCGTAAGGAAAAAGTCTTCTAAACATGCCCCTTGAGGCCAGCATCAACAGCAGCAGAACAGGGTTGAGTTGTTACATGGTGAGAATTATTCCTTTCATTTCAAAGGCATCAAAGATGTTTGCGGCAATCAAGAGTCCTGGTTACACATGATCAAAATAAGCTTATATTACATTTGCTTATTTAAAGGGTAGATGAGGTCTACTGCTGAAATGTGAGTGTATTTTTCATTGTTCCAGAAGAGTTTTTCAGAAAAGGGAGGAGTCATTTTTTAAAAACTAAGCTGATTTGGGGAAAATAAGAGGCATCTGACTATTTCTTTTCTGAATTCCTTCCTTCTGAAGATTCCCAAAAGCAAGCTGGTGTGATAATGCTGTTGACTGGTACACAGAAGTCAAAAGGAAATTTAAGCTCTGTCAACAGCCATTTAAAAAAAAAAAAAAGTAACATTTCTAATCAAAAAGGAATGACTGAATCCCTTTCAAAGATTTTGGATGGATTTTCTTGTGCTTTGGCTGTTCTCTGAATATAAAATGGGAGAAAAAAGCAAAATTGCAGACTGCTAGTTCATACCTATCTTAGCAGAAATTTCAACTACTTCTGTTGCCAATGGTTCCTTTTTTCAAGTCATCATTTTCTTCTTTTCAATTTACTTTTTGTGCTTTTGTTTTCTTCTTCTCCTGAAAAAATTCACAGGACTATCATCTAGTGCTCCAAAGTATTTAGAGTGCATGGTTTATATTTTGCCACACAAAAATAAACAGCACTCTATCATTAGCTAGCTATGTGATTTTATAAGCCACATGTCCCCTCCCCCCGCTTTTTAAAGAGATTTATTTATTTATGCATTGCTGAACTGGGGTACAGGCCAGAGGTGCAGGGGCGGTGAGAGGATTCACCAGAGACAGTGGGGAGCAGAACAGGCCCACGATGAAATACACTGCTGAGGGTAGGGGCAGGCAGGTCAGGAGAGGTCTGCCAGCCATGTGGATCACCTCCAGGCAGGCAGGCGGGGATTGAACTCATGTGGAAGTGGCTTAAGCTTCTTAGTGCTGTTCTTTAACCCCCTGAGCCACTAGGGAGGGCCCACATTTCCCCTTTTGTAAAATAAAGGAATCGAGTAAAAAATGCAGTCTCAAACTATATTCTATCCCTTGTTCACTGCTGATGTGTTAGGCTGGGTATTTCTTTATTGCTGGGGGGCTGTGCTGATCCTTGAGATTGGTTCTTTATTCATAAGATGTCAGTAGTATAGCTCTACTCCACTTCCCCAGTTATGACAAACAACCATGTCTCCAGACTTTACCAAATGTCTCCTGGGGAGAAAAGGCACTGACTAAAGCAATAGTTCTCAAACAACAGTAGTTACTGGAACCCCCAGGAAAACGGTAAAAACACAAAGATGCACCGGGATTCTAATTCTTTGTTGTGGGTACACAACAAAGATTGAGAACCACTGTTCGCCAGGAATTGTACTAATGGTTCAATTAGTACAAATGAATAGTTTAATTAGTACAATGTAAGTGGTCGACCAAGCATGATTCCTGCATTGAAAGCCTTAGTATCACCAAGGGATTTGTTAAAATTGTACATTGAAGGGTTCCATTCAGACTTTGTGAATAAGAAACTCCATGATGTGACCCAGCTGCCTAAAAAATGGCCCAGGCAAAGTAGCAGTGCATTTTTGGTATGCATAAGACATTCAGGAGGGAAGAAATCCAGGGAGGACAGTTTCTCTCAATAGGTGGAACAGTATCTGGAATCAACTTCTCTGTCCTGCATTGCTCTTACTGCCATGTGGTGATTTTATATATATGTAGTTCTGATCAGCCTTTAAAGTCCTATCTGATTGTCCTTTTGGGGGAGGGGAAATCTGAGCCATGGCATGTCTCAGACTTACAGATCTATTTTGGGACTCTAACCTTGACTCTAATGATACTCAATCTTGGTTTTAGATTAGCATCATTTAGGACACAAGAAATATCTCAATACCCCAGCCATATCAATGACCTATTCAGTCACAATCACTTAGAGAGTCAGATATAAATACTTCTGGCCCCTCAGGAGATTTCAATGTCTGTGCAAATTTGAGATAGCAATTGAATACCAAAGAGGTGTTAGTATAGGGGGAGATAAGGTAGTAGAACACACAGGTTTGAAAGCATGGCCAATGTGGAGCTTAGCAGAAAGTCTGTGGTAGTCAAAGCCAATAAACTTTGGACTGTGTGCCAGTGCAAAGCCTAAATGATCCTAAGCCCCTCCACCAAAACCCATCTTACAAGGTCTGTGTTTCTATAGCATTTTGAATCCAATCTAACACGTACCATGTTTCACTTTTATTATTGCCCTGTTCTATATGGTTGTCTTTATACAATATTATGAGTTCCCCAGATTTTGCCTTATTCATCTTTCCTTTCCCCCAGAATGCCTACCTTAAGAGAAGGCATCCAAAGAGACGTTTAATAGACATACATTAAATCATGTGGAGATATCATAGAGATAATCTATCTCAAAGAATTTTATCAATTTGCCCTCAGTCGCACAGCAAGACTTTCTAATATGTCTCAAAACACTCACCAGTGGATTGATAACTCTGGACGTCCAAGTGTTCATTTGAAAACAGGGATAATCCCTAGAGAAACATTCTGGACAGATGACCCAAGTGCAAATTCTGGAACAATGAAGCTTTTCCATCACTGGGATGAGCCAAATGAGTAAGGTTTACTGGAGAAAATAATAACGACATGACTATCAGTGTCCCTTGGAATTACACAGCCAGGGCTATCAGAGGTCAGAGTGGTCAAACCCAACAAAAAGAATGAAGGATCGTGTGAAACCCTGGCAATGTCTGTGGCACAATGAGAATTTCGCACAAAGTCTTCTTTGGAAAGTCCCTGTCAAGTACAAGGTATATGTGCTTTCCCATTGCTCTTCCCTCTCACTCACTATCCCAGTAGACAGGAAGATTGTGATGAAACTGGCACAGGCACTGGGAAGCCACAGGTGTGCCTCCAGGAGACAGACAGAGTCAAGAGTCCAGCACATAAGTTCTCAGGAATCCTTGTGAGAATGTGCAGCCAAAGAAGAGGAAAGAGGGAACACGTTGGCTCAGATGGTATTTATGAGAGAGGAGAAACATTGGAACCAGAAAGCCTCCAGTTAGTTAGTCCTTTGGACTCTGGCAGCCATTTCTGTCAGCTTTCCCATTCCTAGATTGATGTTCATTGCTTAAGTCCTGGGGGTACTGGATTTATGAAAATGCCTCCTTATTCAACTCTTACAATAAGAGTTGTCTGAAAGTCACTTCACGTGTTGGGATAAGGAAACTGAAGCTTAGTTAGCACAGGTGCTTGTAAACTCACAGAGATAGACTGTAAAGGCAGCGGCTCCCTATTGTCCTGTAGTATACATCCATCTGTGCAGAAAGATGGGATGTTTATTTCTCCCACCCTGCCCCTACTAGCTGCTCCAAAGCACACACACCCATAGGAAATGGGATGAAAGGCAAGCAAGAGAACCTCCCTAAGGGAAGGAGCAGTTAGCATGATTCCAAAGATCCAAGGTTGAGACCTCCTTTTACCTTTTCATAGTTCTACAACTTGGGCTAATGATGTTACTCTTCAAGTCCCTTACCACTGGAGTCTCTAGTGCATTCCACTCAGCCTGAAAAGGAGCTTCCATGCTTGAACTGAAGGTGAAGGACTCTGCAAACTCTGAAGTCATGCACAAATTCCAGAAAATGAGTAGAGCGCTCTTCTCACGGAGTCAGATTTTCTTCCTCCCTAAGAAGAGAAGGTCATCCTATCCATTCTCCAACGTAGGAGGGACCCCACGTTGTAGAGTTTTAGGCCCGGGCTGGCCTGCAGCAGCGCTCCCTCTCCGGCACTTGGGTGTGCAGCCCCTGGCAAGCGGCGGCTGCGGCCAGAAGCCTGCAGGGCGCGCTGAGCGCCGGCGAGCGGCTCGCGGAGGCTCGACAGCAGGAGGAGCGTGTGAGCTGTGGGCGTCTCTTTTAAGAGCAGCCGGCCGGCCCGGCCTCCGCCTCTCAGTCCTCGAAGTGCTTACGGTCACCTGAAGTTCGCGGGCAGCCAGACTACTCTCTCCACGAAGGTGGCAGAGGGGGCCCACTCGCTCGAGCCCCGAGCTGCCTGGGAGCGTGGCCCGCCCGCGCCTCTCCGGGGCGGAGGATGCGGGAGCGCATCTGGGCGCCGCTGCCGCTGCTGCTGCGGCTGCTGCTGCTGCCGCCGCCGCTGTGGGGTGGTCCCCCGGACAGCCCGCGTCAGGAGCGGGAGCCTGAACCGGGGCCGCTGCAGCCCTACGACCTGCTCTACGCCAGCGGCGTGGCCGCCTACTACAGCGGGGACTACGAGCAAGCCGTGAGCGACTTGGAAGCGGCGCTGCGCAGCCATCGGCGCCTGCGGGAGGTCCGCGTGCGCTGCGGCCGCCACTGTGCCGCGCGCCGCCCGCTCGCGCCCTCCGGCGTCGGGGCCGGGCCCGAGCTGCACTCGTTCCGCGCCTTGCTGGAGCGGGCGCGCTGCTACCGCAGCTGCGAGAGCCAGCGCCTGGGGGGACCCACGTCCCGCCACCGCGTCAGCGAGGACGTGCGCAGCGACTTCCAGCGCAGAGTGCCCTACAACTACCTGCAGCGGGCCTACATCAAGGTACCCGAGCGCCTACCTCGCGCTCCCTGAGGTTCCATCATGCTCTCTAGAACCCTCCCCAAGGCTCCTGCCGCCTGTATCCCTCTGCTCCTTAGCCTTTCAGATTGGGTCTCTTGGAAGTTTTTCCGCTCTTCTTGGTGGATCGGGCCAAGTAACCTGAGCGCTGTACCAACACTAGTTGAACCTGAGCAAGTCATTAGCTTTCTGGACATGAGTTTCTCTCAGAGAGGACTTTACTGAGAAGAGGTTTAAAGTACCCATTCAATAGTAATGTCGGAGACTTTGGCAGCCTTGACGCTATCAAAAGTCTCCTCTCTATTTATTTAGTAATTTAACTTCTCCCCATTTCTTTGCTGTCTACATTCCCTTTCCATCCTATGCTCTCATCTGCCCCTTTTCTCTCATCTGCCCCTTTTCTCTGAAGTTTCAAGGAAAATATTCTCCAAACCACAAGGTTCAATACAGGCTTGCTCTGAAACAAATGCACCTACACAAAAGTAAAGATCAAAGGTTAAAGAGAAAGTATGCTTGGGAGAGTTGAATCTCTGAGGCAACCTCACAAAGTGTCTGTAGAATGCGGCTTTTTTTTTTTTTTCCACATGGTAGATGGTTTTCAGTGACTGGGATTAACTATTAAACTGTGTTATATGGATATCATATGCCCAGTACTCTTCCTTATTTTTGTGTATTTGCCTGAAGTTAGTGTTGGGAGGTACAAAGTACGTAGTGGCACTTTCCCCTCATTCACCATGTTGAAGCTCTACCTGGATGCTTCCCAGTCTCCCAAGCCCTGTGTCTCTGAATTTATATTTCCTCTTCCCCCACCACACATTCTGCCCTTCTATGTTAATGTATCACTGTTTTTTCTACAGTTGTTGGGTAAGAGGTAATTTGGGGGGTACGTTGGATTTCCTAGCCAAATATTGTAAGCTGCATAACTGGTATTGCAAAAATACACACCAGGTTCAGATTTCCAGATGCCTTTTGTAGCTCATCTCTCCAAGCACTCTGTCCTCACACTTATTTCAGATTCTCTGGAGGGTTGCTGTTGTCTGTGAGTTTCACAAAATCACAACTAACTGTAACTCCCAATGCTGTAGTTAGGGTGCTAGAGTTCTCTAGACTAGTATATTGGAAAAGGAATAAGGTAGAAGTCTGAATCTTTTCCAGGACTTGCCTTCTACTTATTGTCCCTCCTGGTTGATTTGCTATGGTATATGTTAAATGTAAATCACATTTCTTTTAAATGAGTGGCACAAAATGAGGCCAGAGTACCACAGAAAATGTGCTAAACAGGGAGGACACCTTGAATACTTGACAGCTAGAGATATATTAAGCTAGTTTCTAGACTAGAACATGGCTGGTCTTGTCTAGTCCCAGTGGTGTGATATTCCCACAAATCTCAAATGTGAGGTTGGCAGTCCTGCTGATAGTTCTGTCACACATTTGGGCTTATTTTTTTCTATCTCAGGTATGGAAAAAGAATGCATTCATATGTCCAGTTCTATAAAAATAAATAACCATGAAGTCACTCTCAAAAAGTATGTTTCTTCAATCTATAATTAAGCTTCACTGTCAGTGTTAGCATTTATCAGTCATTCTGTTCCTGTATCCTGCTTAGAGGTCAAAGAAGGTGAAGCCATAGGTTTAACATGCCTTAAACTTTGAATTCATTCCAGGAATTAATCACTCATGGGTACCTCTGTGGGTGAACTACTGGGTGTGGTCTGATGAACCAATGAAGTTTAAAGAGTTCTTTCTAAAATATGTGAATTCATGTGCTAATTTTTACTTTCCTAGCAGTGTTTTGAGAGCTGAACAAGGCTTGCATCTTCTCACTATTTACTTCCACTCTAATAGAGAACATTTCTTGGCTCTACATAACTTATAGTTTCCCAAGGAGGAAATTTTTTCCTTTGGAAATTTTTTTTTTTCCAGTGTTAACAGTTTACAGAAGTGTCTTTGTGAGCATCTAATAAAGTGTATCATGATTGCTTACTTCCCCTCTCTTCAAAACTTCACAATGTTAGGTTCTGTTTGGCTTCCTGGGAATTTCGCTCACACTTGTATACACAGATACCCCTTCCAATCCCCCCTCCCCCACCAACACAAACACACAGACACAGAGACACAAACTATTCTTTGGAGTAGAGAAAAATTCTCGAATTATAACAGAGCATCCCTCGATTCTAACAGGTGTGCATCCCAGAGAGTTCATTCTCTGAGGACAGGTGTTCCCTGCTGTACCCAGATTTGATTATGCTAACCTGTGTTGTTGAATTAATTTTGACATCAGGGATCCAGTTTGTGCTTGAAAAGATAGCCCTAAATGAAATGAATCAAATGAGGACTTTGTAGCCTATTGTTGAGAATTTTGAATCCTATAAAAGGTCAGCACTAGCAAGCCTCCTATAAACAAAGTAGTACCACTATTCTCAGGTAGGGTTTTCCAGATTGTGGAAATTCTTTAAAATGCTTCTTCTTCCCCAAATCCTTGTTAGTGAGGCACTGGTGGAACCAGGTCCTTTTTGCTGAGTTCCACTGTGCTCAGTTTTTTTCAATTCACAAGTGGGAAAAGTTCCCAGAGAGAAAAAGGGGTTCTTCCAGTAACACATGTGATTTGGTTTGATAAAATCAGTACAGGTTTGCGACCTTCCTGTATCAGATGCCCCTGCTATGCTGTGCCCATTGCTCTGTAAGGGTGGCTTCAGGTCCCAGAGAATGCTTCAAACCCCAGGGCTACTCTTATGCCAGATTTGGACAGCTCCAGGATGACTAGGTCTTTGTCCTCCAGTTTACAGATACTCAGGACCGCTATCTTAAAGTCTGCTCTGTGCCTGGAATCTTTCTTAAGGTTTGGCATGCAGAAAATTTATCTAGACAACTATGAGGTAGTAGTTCCACTTGGCTCCTAGCCATACTTTTTTGTTTAAAGGCAGAGTGAGACTTCAAACTTTTGATTTATATCATGTCAGATGGTAAGCTTTAACTTCACCGCCTAAAGCTGCAATAGAGTTTTTAGCAGAGCATTTTTCACTCATGATACATATGAAGCCCACGTACTTTAACACAGCATCCACAGCCTGGCTCCCTGTAACTTTCCAGGCCCTCTTTCCTTCTCCTCTGCCATCCTCTCCCCTGAGGGAACAGTAGATGCTTGGTCTTAAGTGTCTTACACATTTGCACATCTGGGCTTTGTTTGTTCTTTTTTGGGAGGAATGTAGGCTCTGGAATGGGATAGATATGGGAGTGAACTTTCTTCACTCAGTCTCTAGCTGTGTTACTATGAGCAAATTCTATAAACTCTCTAAGCTTCAGTTTGCCCATCTGTAATATGGACAAATAAGAGGACTTACCTGATAGGTTGAGTTGAGGTTTACACAGGACATATATAAAGCACCCAGGGCAGGGCCTGATTTTCAATAAACGATGGGGAACTGTTTCTTCTTTTTATTATAGTACTATGTTTTTCCCTCTTCTTCCAGTGGCAACTCTCCTGCCATAAATACATCTATTTCTGTCAGACTCTATGACTCCCAATGTGTTTTCCAAAAATTCATCATCTTTCCCTCTAAATGACCACAGTGAGGAATTAGTCCCCCTCATGACATTTTCCATTTTGAACCTTGTTTGGGAGAAAGAAACTGTAATCTTGCCCATCCCTTATGTGAGCTCCTTGGGATCAAGAAATGTTTCAGTCATTTGTATCTTCTAAAGTAGGAGTTTTCACATCTAGATGATGATTAAATGGGTGATTATTATTAGTCATTTAATTTTAAATTAAAAATGTAATTTAAAATTAGATATTTAGGTTCCATAGGTTTGAGCTGGGCCCTCCACTTCTCTCCCCCTTTCCTAAAACAGGGCAGAAGCAGTTTATGCTCACTATGTTTGTTGAATTGATAATGCCTTGACTCCATAAAATATTGAGAAAGATTCCTTTGTGGGCAGAGGTTTTCTCTCAGTTATTTGGTTTCCTAGCTGGTCAGTTGAGGAGAAAATGACAGAAAGACTGTAGATGGTCTGACTTCTCACAATTTTTTTACTTGCAAGCTCAGACTAGAGTTGCAAATTTCCTTCCTGGCCCCTATAATTTCCCTAATTTAATCCTTACTACTAAAACTACTAAAGAGAATCCTTGCTACATTGCTTTATGTACATTTGTTCAAAATTAAACCAATTTAAGGGATATATCACCTCCACGACCCAACCTATGATTTATTTATTTTAGAACTGAAAGTTTGTACTTTTTGGCTCTGTCCAAAGAGACATGCTTTTTTTATTTTTCTTTCTGTGTGCTTTATAATCGGGAATATTGGTAGTGTCTGTTTTTCTTCTACTGTTCCCAGCCATTTAAGGGGAGGGGGGGAAGAACTACTAGTGTTTATTTATTTTTTTTAGTTAGAACAAGCTTGCCCCTGCATGCTTTGCTTCTGAGTAGCAGCTTTGGTCATTTGACCTGTGTTTTTCTATGTAGGATAAAAGGGCAAAAAAATAAGGGCAAAAAATGGAAATGTGGCTAAATTAGGCAGGTCTGTTTCTGTCTCAATCATCTGACTAAGCTTTCTTATCTTGACTATAATCTATTTATTAGTAATTTTCTAGAAAAGAAAAAAAAATCAGTGTACAGAATTTCTTCATTCTTTTCCTGCTTTATCGACTGCTTTCTCCTTCAGGAATGGATGCCTTAATAACAAAAAAATTGAAAACCCAGACCTTAGCTGCACAGTAATGTTGATCCTGCTAGTTCAGAATAAAAACTTTGCCCTATTTCTACAAATCAATTTTTTTCTATTTATGTAAGCTATGTACATATTTTTTATCCAAAGTTATTTCATTTAGGAGGTTTATTTTATGGTCTCTTGAAGTGACTGTTACAAAGTTGGCCTTCTGGTTATTTCCTCAGGGGATGACATTTTATTGTTTTATTTACTTATAATTGGGCACTTTTTTGTGCTTGAATCAGCAAAACCCAACCCACTAGTATCTTTTTGTTCCAC